ACTTCGTTCATTTTCAGCTTGATCAAAGACATCCAAGACATTGGGAATCTTGGTGGGAGTGAGCCTCATACCAGCAAACCTCCTATAGATGGCGGTAATCCTGTCTTTTCCACTTGATTCTGAGGCTCCTGTAGCCGAAACACCGCTTGGGCCTGGTGCTGGATCCATTATTGATGAATTTAGTGGGTTATAAACACACACAAACGGGTAATAATCCTTGAAAACGTGCGAGTTTGGCGGCCGAGGGGAGAGAGATCCGATCGCTCCACGTGACAACAAAACAATGGGCCTGTCACGTGACCCAGTAGGCCGACGTAACTTGCGGCCTACCCGAGAGAACGGGAATTTCATGGTGCGGAGTTTGAAACAAACCCCAAGTAAATCGGATTTAAACTGGATTTTTTACAAATATTTTAAACCGCACCGTAAATTTGCGTCGTGATCTGACAAGCAGTTAGGGAAAATGCCCGTAATTCCAAGTCGAAAATCCAGGAAAGTGTTAAACCCCGAGCATGTTAAGGGTTAACATGCTAAATATTAACTCCCTCCACACACATTCTCTTGTGTCAACTACATTTACAAAACCCTGTTCTTAAATGTAAACCATGCTCTGAAACTCTCCCTGGACAGATGTAATAGGACCCATTATCATCACACCAGAAATAAATATCTCTTTGATATCCCCAGTGTCAAACTTTATCTGTGTAAACACACTATGCAAATAAAGGGACCTTGTCTATGGAACTCACTCCCTAGCGAATTGAAAAGCTGTCAAACTTTTGCCTCATTCAAAAACAAAACCAATAAGTATCTAATTTCATCTTCGTAGTTTCCTACACAGAACTTTAAATTTACTCTGTATCTAGTGTTACCCACTTTCCTAATCTTTATGTACTTAATCCAAACCACTCTATCATTGTGTTCATTACTGTCTTCTTTTATGTGCTAGCCATATGCTGTATTGTGCCTACTAATTTTTGTTAAACTACCATTCAAGCTGTCATTGCAATCAATCTGAGCTACCTATGTGCTTTAAAATACCTACAATTTTCTCTCATCTTTTATTTTTTTCTTGCTATGTAACTTATCATTTTTATAAATTTTGCTAATATTTACCTACTTAAATTTTCTTAGATTAAGGACCTGCCTGAAACGCTGCGCGTGCTAGTGGCTTTAGAAGAATGTAATTACTATGCTATGTATCCTCACAATCCCAATGTACCTTCTTGTATATATATAAATAAATAAATAAATGAGAGCCCCGAGGCGTGTTGTGCACCACCCACCGAGATCATCTCATAAACCGAATGTACCTTGTATATACAATGGGGCATCGACTTACGATGCTAATCCATTCCCAGAGACGGATCGTAAGTCGAAATATCGTAAGTCGAAGCGATTTTTCTCATAAGAAATAAAGGGATTTGAATTAATCCGTTCCCCCACCCTCCAAAATATTAACATACAAATACATTTTATACTAAATACAATGTTTTTTCTAACTACAATACAGTATCTAAGTTTATCTTACCTTTATGGAGGGCTCTTGATGGCATATGGAAGATGGTGATGAGGAGGGAGGAGAGTTGTTACTGTTTGGAAGGGGAGTCCCCTTCCATTATCACATCAGGCAATTTTCTCAAAACTGCCTGATGAAAACATCAGTGATGTTTTCTCTGGGGTACTCTCTCTCTCTCCTACGTTTTGCCTGAATACCACTAGGACCTGGTTGTGGTTCAGTGCTTGTTTGTGTCACTACAAATTTGTCAAGAGACATTTGTTTTTCCCTTTGTTTTAACATTTGTCTGTATATAATGCATTACTTTAGCACCCATAATGTCTCTTTTTCTTAGCCAGTATGGTGGATATCGTTGACTGAGATTTCTTGTACTACCTAGCCAGTCCAACAGCCCGCACACCATCTTCATATTTACGAATGATCTCTTGTTTCTGCTCTATGGTCATCCTTACATTGGATCTCATATGTTGAGCCTTACCACTGACTTTCCTGGGACTCATGGCATGATATATAATAATTAATGTTCAAAATGCAAAAAATCACCACAAAAGAGAAATTTCTTATAGGCGCGATCATCACTAAGCAGGCAGCTGTAGTAAACTGAGGCAAGTCGGCCGCGTGACCAGGAACCACGTGCTCGGTCGACCCGAACGTGTGCCAACAAATATCATAAGTCGATGACACCATCGGATGTCAAGTCGCATTTTTTGATGAAATTTACATCGTAACTCGAAATTATCGCAAGTAGGGGCAATCGTAAGTCGAGGTGCCACTGTAGTAGGTATATAAAAATAGGTGCATATTTGAATGGAACGTTGTCAAAATTTCAAGGAAAGGTGAAGAACTTTCGGAGATTACACCATGTGTTGCTCTTAAGTTCAACAGATGGCGTGTTTTTCAAAATAAGCATATTTTTTCTTGTCACAGGTGAGGCATGTATATAGTAGGCATATAAAAACACGCACCTATTCAAATGCAACATTTTGTCAAAATTTTAAAGCAATTGGTAAAGCGGTTTCGAAGATTTCCCTCACGTGAAACAGTTTTTCAAAAACGCATGATTTTTTCCCGTCACAGACGTGATATCAACATTGTATGTATATAAAAACCCGCTCGGATGCGAATGGAACGTTGTGTGAAAATTTCAAAGCAATCGGTGAAGAACTTTCGGAGATTAGCGATTTTGAACAAACGAACATTTACATTTTTATTTATAGATATAACAAAATAGAGCATAACATAATTACTCATTATTATTTGAGTTATTATGTATTACTTGCCAATGCTATACAGACACCAGCTGTATATCCAGTTTGTGGACACTTCTTTCTTCTATTCTTCTTCTTTTGTGCGTCGGACAGATGCTGGGATCTCTTTATTTTTGCATTATCCATCCGTTCCAGTTAATAGGAGGATTTCTCTTTATCAACAAAACTTTATTTTTTTTCGCTTAAAATCAATTTCTGAAAATATTTTGATGAAAGTTTCACGAAGCTGAAGCCAATACAGTGGTACCTTGGAACACGAGTGTCCCTGTATGCGAGTTTTTCGGAATACGAGTCGGATTTCCTCGGAAAATGTGTTCTCGGAAGGCGAGGGTTACCTCGGAACGCGAGTTTGTTGATACACGTTCAGGCCGACCTAGAGAGAGAGATAAAAGTTATTATATATCTTGCCATGGGTCTCAAGAAGGCCATTGATAAGGTTCAACCTAAGAAAATAGCTGTGAGTAGAGGCAGTAGAGGATGTCCCTTCTTGATTAAGAAAATGTGTGAAGTATGGGAAGAACTGCAAAGTTCTGTTGAAAAAACTCACCCAGATAAAGCTGTAGCAGGCCGTTGCATTGACCTTTTAAATGACAATGTGATGTCTTACTACAGACAAGTGTTAAAATGTAGGGAAAAACAAGTGTCTTTAGACAGATTCTTAGTAAGACAAACAAGTCCTAGTGGTATGCAGGCAAAATGTGCCAGTGTGTGCTCACCAGTGAAGTCCTCACTGCCTGATGTTATAATGGAAGGGGACTCCCCTTCCAAACAGTAACACCTCTCCTCCTCCCCCCTCCTCACCATCTTCCATACGCCTACAGCATTCAACAGCAAGGTAAGTAATAGCTTGAACATAGTTTTGTAGGTTTATTTAGATGAATTAGGTATAACAATTTAGTTTGATGTAGGGTTTTTGGGGTAGTCGGGAACGGATTAATTCATTTCCCATTATTTTTTATGGGAAATTAGCTTTGGAATACGAGTTTTCGGAATACGAGCCGTCTCCAGGAACGGATTAAACTCTTAAACCGAGGTACCCCCTGTAAGTTGAAGATTTGTTTAACATTTTTGAGTAATTTTTACATAATTCAAATATTTTTTTAATTATACCCCCATCAATGTTGCACATCATGTAACGTTTTGTGCAGTTTAAGGGTTAACTACTCCCCCCTCCCCCCACACTTTTTATTCATTCTGTGTGCTCGCAAATAATGCACTCACGTGCACCCTTGACTTTAGTTCCTGTAGGTGGTGTGTAACCAAGCTTGTGAAGTGTAAGGTAATCTTTAAAAGATTATAGGAAAAGATCAATTTATAAGGTAGTCTTGAACAGATTGCTTTGTAAGGTCCCTCACTAGAAGAGATTGTCATTCTGGAAGAGTGACTAGTGAACTAGCCATTCTGTGAATTTTTTTCAAGATGGCTGCCTCTCACTGGAGGTCCCAAGATTCCATTTCGTACACAATTTACCACTCACGAATGGGGATGAAATATTCAAAAGGCGTTTCCCACCGACCGAGTTTTCTCGGTTGGCGTAGTACAGTGGTTAAAAGTTCTTCGTGCCTCGTGCAGTTACCTTGCTTTCTCACAATAATGGCCTCTGAAATGCTATCACCTGCTAACTCCTTGTTGTGTATCCAAATTAATAACAACTTCTCAACATCAAGTGTTTGTGTTCTTTGTTTCGTGATTGTTGATAAGCCTTTTACCACTTCACCACTCATAACGTCCTTTTTCTTAGCAAGTACAGTGCATATCATTGACATAGATTTGTTGTACTGCCTAGCTAGTTCAACAACCCGTGTACTATTTTCATGTTTACAAATGATGTCTTGTTTATCCTATATGGTCATTCTTACATGTGTTTTCAGTAATAACTACAGTGCTGTACTTTTATGTTCAAATAACCAAAAATTCGAAAAAAATAATTCTTTACAAAGAATTCAGGCGCGATCGTCAATAGGCGGGAGGCACTGGTAAACTGAGGCGCGATCGCCGTGCCACCGCGCGCTAAGTTGGCCATACGCGTATCAACAAACTTCGTTTACCGAGGCAAAGTTCGTAACCCGATTCGGATTTTTCAGAGAAATTGGGCTCGTAACCCGAAAAGTTTGTAAATAGGGGCATTCATAATGCCGAGGTGTCAGTGTATTAATCTCCTGAATTTACCATTAGTGTGTCAGCGTCCAGCAATGCTGGTGTAGTGTTACTGGATGGCTAGTAAGTTGGTACCTTGGGGTAAATGCATGAATAACCAATATTGGCAGACTTGTTCCCAAGATTCATAGGTAGCAGTAGGCTACCAGCTACATTTTGATTTGTGCTACTTCTTACATCACATTATTTAAACATGGTATTTATATAAATGAAAACAATAGTATAAACTTCTATCCATTTTCAGATAAAGAGTTCAATTCTGAACCTGGGTATGAGTACGAGGCATCTTATATGGACTGCTCTACACCAAGACTCATTGTCATATGTTTGGTAAGGTACTCCTTATGTTCATGCTTCATAAACATGCTTTTGCCTTGTTTTTGTTTGTGTTTAAAGTTAACCCTGGTTTCCATAGTGCTAGCATTCTTGCCCTTCGTTTTACGGGCAACTTTTTCTGTTCATGCCCTGGCGGAATGACTGAATACCAATCTGTAATTGTTGGCCCATATTCAAACAGCATGGGACTGATTGTAAACTGATGGGCAGGTCATGTTCCAAACTTGAGATTTGTTGTGGTAAGAGAAAGCTCTAAGCTTTCTAACAGGAGTCAGAACTCATCTATTCCTTTACCCACCTGTGTAAAAAAAGAATTGTGTATGTATATGTGTGTGTGTAACCGTCAATCAACAGGTGTACAGATTCCTGAGCCTATCGGGCTCTTATCATATCTACACTTGAAACTGTGTATGGAGTCAGCCTCCACCACATCTCTTCCTAATGCATTCCATTTGTCCACCACTCTGACACTAAAAAAGTTCTTTCTAATATCTCTGTGGCTCATTTGGGCACTCAGTTTCCACCTGTGTCCCCTTGTACGTGTTCCCCTTGTGTTAAATAGACTGTCTTTATCTACCCTATCAATTCCCTTCAGAATCTTGAATGTGGTGATCATGTCCCCCCTAACTCTTCTGTCTTCCAGCGAAGTGAGGTTTAATTCCCGTAGTCTCTCCTCGTAGCTCATACCTCTCAGCTCGGGTACTAGTCTGGTGGCAAACCTTTGAACCTTTTCCAGTTTAGTCTTATCCTTGACTAGATATGGACTCCATGCTGGGGCTGCATACTCCAGGATTGGCCTGGCATATGTGGTATACAAAGTTCTGAATGATTCTTTACACAAGTTTCTGAATGCCGTTCGTATGTTGGCCAGCCTGGCATATGCCGCTGATGTTATCCGCTTGATATGTGCTGCAGGAGACAGGTCTGGCGTGATATCAAACCCCAAGTCTTTTTCCTTCTCCGATTCCTGAAGAATTTCCTCTCCTAGATGATACCTTGTATCTGGCCTCCTGCTCCCTACACCTATCTTCATTACATTACATTTGGTTGGGTTAAACTCTAACAACCATTTGTTCGACCATTCCTTCAGCTTGTCTAGGTCTTGTATATAAAAACCCGCTCGGATGCGAATGGAACGTTGTGTGAAAATTTCAAAGCAATCGGTGAAGAACTTTCGGAGATTAGCGATTTTGAACAAACGAACATTTACATTTTTATTTATAGATATAACAAAATAGAGCATAACAACATAATTACTCATTATTATTTGAGTTATTATGTATTACTCGCCAATGCTATACAGACACCAGCGGTAGATCCAGTTTGTGGACACTTCTTTCTTCTATTCTTCTTCTTTTGTGTATCGGACAGGTGCTGGGATCTCTCTATTTTTGCATTATCCATAAAGAGGATTTCTCTTTATCAACAAAACTTTATTTTTATTCGCTTAAAATCAATTTCTGAAAATATTTTGATAAAAGTTTCACGAAGCTGAAGCCAATACAGTGGTACCTTGGAACACGAGTGTCCCTGTATGCGAGTTTTTCGGAATACGAGCCGGATTTCCTCGGAAAATGTGTTCTCGGAAGGCGAGGGTTACCTCGGAACGCGAGTTTGTTGATACACGTTCAGGCCGACCTAGAGAGAGAGAGATAAAAGTTATTATATATCTTGCCATGGGTCTCAAGAAGGCCATTGATAAGGTTCAACCTAAGAAAATAGCTGTGAGTAGAGGCAGTAGAGGATGTCCCTTCTTGATTAAGAAAATGTGTGAAGTATGGGAAGAACTGGAAAGTTCTGTTGAAAAAACTCGCCCAGATAAAGCTGTAGCAGGCCGTTGCATTGACCTTTTAAATGACAATGTGATGTCTTACTACAGACAAGTGTTAAAATGTAGGGAAAAACAAGTGTCTTTAGAGAGATTCTTAGTAAGACAAACAAGTCCTAGTGGTATGCTGGCAAAATGTGCCAGTGTGCGCTCACCAGTGAAGTCCTCACTGCCTGATGTTATAATGGAAGGGGACTCCCCTTCCAAACAGTAACACCTCTCCTCCTCCCCCCTCCTCACCATCTTCCATACGCCTACAGCATTCAACAGCAAGGGTAAGTAATAACTTGAACATAGTTTTGTAGGTTTATTTAGATGAATTAGGTATAAAAATTTAGTTTGATGTGGGGTTTTTGGGGTAGTCGGGAACGGATTAATTCATTTCCCATTATTTTTTATGGGAAATTAGCTTTGGAATACGAGTTTTCGGAATACGAGCCGTCTCCAGGAACGGATTAAACTCTTAAACCGAGGTACCCCCTGTAAGTTGAAGATTTGTTTAACATTTTTGAGTAATTTTTACATAATTCAAATATTTTTTTAATTATACCCCCATCAATGTTGCACATCATGTAACGTTTTGTGCAGTTTAAGGGTTAACTACTCCACCCCTCCCCCCACACTTTTTATTCATTCTGTGTGCTCGCAAATAATGCACTCACGTGCACCCTTGACTTTAGTACCTGTAGGTGGTGTGTAACCAAGCTTGTGAAGTGTAAGGTAATCTTTAAAAGATTATAGGAAAAGATCAATTTATAAGGTAGTCTTGAACAGATTGCTTTGTAAGGTCCCTCACTAGAAGAGATTGTCATTCTGGAAGAGTGACTAGTGAACTAGCCATTCTGTGAATTTTTTTCAAGATGGCTGCTTCTCACTGGAGGTCCCAAGATTCCATTTCGTACACAATTTACCACTCACGAATGGGGATGAAATATTCAAAAGGCGTTTCCCACCGACCGAGTTTTCTCGGTTGGCGTAGTACTGTGGTTAAAAGTTCTTCGTGCCTCGTGCAGTTACCTTGCTTTCTCACAATAATGGCCTCTGAAATGCTATCACCTGCTAACTCCTTGTTGTGTATCCAAATTAATAACAACTTCTCAACATCAAGTGTTTGTGTTCTTTGTTTCGTGATTGTTGATAAGCCTTTTACCACTTCACCACTCATAACGTCCTTTTTCTTAGCAAGTACAGTGCATATCATTGACATAGATTTGTTGTACTGCCTAGCTAGTTCAACAACCCGTGTACTATTTTCATGTTTACAAATGATGTCTTGTTTATCCTATATGGTCATTCTTACATGTGTTTTCAGTAATAACTACAGTGCTGTACTTTTATGTTCAAATAACCAAAAATTCGAAAAAAATAATTCTTTACAAAGAATTCAGGCGCGATCGTCAATAGGCGGGAGGCACTGGTAAACTGAGGCGCGATCGCCGTGCCACCGCGCGCTAAGTTGGCCATACGCGTATCAACAAACTTCGTTTACCGAGGCAAAGTTCGTAACCCGATTCGGATTTTTCAGAGAAATTGGGCTCGTAACCCGAAAAGTTTGTAAATAGGGGCATTCATAATGCCGAGGTGTCAGTGTATTAATCTCCTGAATTTACCATTAGTGTGTCAGCGTCCAGCAATGCTGGTGTAGTGTTACTGGATGGCTAGTAAGTTGGTACCTTGGGGTAAATGCATGAATAACCAATATTGGCAGACTTGTTCCCAAGATTCATAGGTAGCAGTAGGCTACCAGCTACATTTTGATTTGTGCTACTTCTTACATCACATTATTTAAACATGGTATTTATATAAATGAAAACAATAGTATAAACTTCTATCCATTTTCAGATAAAGAGTTCAATTCTGAACCTGGGTATGAGTACGAGGCATCTTATATGGACTACTCTACACCAAGACTCATTGTCATATGTTTGGTAAGGTACTCCTTATGTTCATGCTTCATAAACATGCTTTTGCCTTGTTTTTGTTTGTGCTGTTTGTGTTTAAAGTTAACCCTGGTTTCCATAGTGCTAGCATTCTTGCCCTTCGTTTTACGGGCAACTTTTTCTGTTCATGCCCTGGCGGAATGACTGAATACCAATCTGTAATTGTTGGCCCATATTCAAACAGCATGGGACCGATTGTAAACTGATGGGCAGGTCATGTTCCAAACTTGAGATTTGTTGTGGTAAGAGAAAGCTCTAAGCTTTCTAACAGCAGTCAGAACTCACCTATTCCTTTACCCACCTGTGTAAAAAAAGAATTGTGTATGTATATGTGTGTGTGTACTCACCTAGTTGTGTTTGCGGGGGTTGAGCTCTGGCTCTTTGGTCCCGCCTCTCAACCGTCAATCAACAGGTGTACAGATTCCTGAGCCTATCGGGCTCTTATCATATCTACACTTGAAACTGTGTATGGAGTCAGCCTCCACCACATCTCTTCCTAATGCATTCCATTTGTCCACCACTCTGACACTAAAAAAGTTCTTTCTAATATCTCTGTGGCTCATTTGGGCACTCAGTTTCCACCTGTGTCCCCTTGTACGTGTTCCCCTTGTGTTAAATAGACTGTCTTTATCTACCCTATCAATTCCCTTCAGAATCTTGAATGTGGTGATCATGTCACCCCTAACTCTTCTGTCTTCCAGCGAAGTGAGGTTTAATTCCCGTAGTCTCTCCTCGTAGCTCATACCTCTCTGAGCCACCAGACGGGTACTAGTCTGGTGGCAAATCTTTGAACCTTTTCCTGTTTAGTCTTATCCTTGACTAGCTATGGACTCCATGCTGAGGCTGCATACTCCAGGATTGGCCTGACATATGTGGTATACAAAGTTCTGAATGATTCTTTACACAAGTTTCTGAATGCCGTTCGTATGTTGGCCAGCCTGGCATATGCCGCTGATGTTATCCGCTTGATATGTGCTGCAGGAGACAGGTCTGGCGTGATATCAAACCCCAAGTCTTTTTCCTTCTCCGATTCCTGAAGAATTTCCTCTCCTAGATGATACCTTGTATCTGGCCTCCTGCTCCCTACACCTATCTTCATTACATTACATTTGGTTGGGTTAAACTCTAACAACCATTTGTTCGACCATTCCTTCAGCTTGTCTAGGTCTTCTTGAAGCCTCAAACAGTCCTCTTCTGTTTTAATCCTTCTCATAATTTTAGCATCGTCCGCAAACATTGAGAGAAATGAATCGATACCCTCTGCTCTGGGAGATCATTTACATATATCAGAAACAAGATAGGACCGAGTACAGAGCCCTGTGGGACTCCACTGGTGACTTCACGCCAATCAGAAGTCTCACCCCTCACCGTAACTCTCTGCTTCCAATTGCTTAGATACTCCCTTATCCACTGGAGCACCTTACCAGCTACACCTGCCTGTCTCTCCAGCTTATGTACCAGCCTCTTATGCGGTACTGTGTCAAAGGCTTTCCGACAATCCAAGAAAATGCAGAAAATGTGTGTGTGTGTAATTACCTAAGTGTAATTACCTAAGTGTAGTTACAGGATGAGAGCTACGCTCGTGGTGTCCCGTCTTCCCAGCACTCTGTCATATAACGCTTTGAAACTACTGACGGTCTTGGCCTCCACCACCTTCTCACTTAACTTGTTCCAACCGTCTACCTCTCTATTTGCGAAGGTGAATTTTCTTATATTTCTTCGGCATCTGTGTTTAGCTAGTTTAAATCTATGACCTCTTGTTCTAGAAGTTCAAGGTCTCAGGAAGTCTTCCCTGTCGATTTTATCAATTCCTGTTACTATTTTGTACGTAGTGATCATATCACCTCTTTTTCTTGTCTTCTAGTTTTGGCATATTTAATGCTTCTAACCTCTCTTCGTAACTCTTGCCCTTCAGTTCTGGGAGCCACTTAGTAGCATGTCTTTGCACCTTTTCCAGTTTGTTGATGTGCTTCATAAGATATGGGCACCAAACAGCTGCATATTCTAGCTTTGGCCTAACAAAAGTCATGAACAATTTCTGCTCGCCATCCATGCATGGCGTATATATTCCACATTCCATAACATGACATTTATTAACATTAACCCTTAAACTGCGCATGGCGTGAGTAACATGTCCCATGGTGCGCATGGCGTATATATACGCCATAGGGTGCCAGGCCTGATTCAAATGGCCCGCGGCTACACGGGGTTCACAGTAGCTTCCTCAGCGCTCTTGTAAACAGATGCCATTTAAAAAAAAATCGTGGGCAATATTCTCAGGTGTGAGAGGCACAGTACTGTTGGAGCAACCAAGGCCGGCGCACGCAGCATGAGCGAACAGCATTGATGTTCAGCTTGTGACCACAGCATCGCCGAAAAATGTCAAAATAAATATATAATTGTTATTATTTAGCGATGACAATATTACAGATGACCCATGACTGTGATATAAATAACCAGGGTTGTGATAATAGCAGGATTGTTGTAATAATTAGCGCTGTGGGAGGAGTGATGCTGAGAGACGGAGGGAGACAGCATCGTTTACTGACTGTGTGGCCACCTGTTATTGTTTGCATTCACCATACCAGGTCAGTGGTTCTCTATGGTGAACACAAATGTAGATACTTATATATAATGTGTGTATTAGTGTAATAACAGCAAAAGGATTATGCTGGGAGGAGCCATATGGGTGACGGAGGTGACGTCGTCTGCATGATTTGTCTAGCTGTTTAGAGGGTGGCCACTATGCTCTTTGGGCGCACTACAAGCTTAGGTGTACAGTTACGGTGCATAAAACATGTAGATATTTATATATAATATGTGTATATAGGGTAATAACACTGCAAAAGGTATTGTTGGGGGAGAAAGTTTAGTGCGTGTGATCTTGAAAGAGTGAGGGAGCCGCCAGCCGCCATCTGTGTATAGCGACGACTCTTAGTGCCTGAACTAACTATATCAGCTTAGCTGTACAGTTGTGGTGAACAAAATATATACATACTTACATATAACGTCTGTATATAGTGTAATAACACCACAAATGGTATTGTTGGGGGAGAAAGTTTAGTGCGTGTGTTGAGGGAGTGGCAGCGAGTGGCTGGCTGGTGTGTGGCGGTAACTCCTCGTTGCTTTTCGACTCAATACCAACTTAGTGGTTCGTTATGGTGACCAAAACATGCCAATACTTATATATAACCTGTGTATAGTGTGTAATAGCAGCAAAACTATTTGTTTATAGTTTTATAAACATAATAATTGAATCACTAATATGCACATCATACTTTTGAGTATAGCGATTATTAACTACTTTTATTATATAAATATATTACAATACACACTATTGAATAATATTACTGCAAAAAAACTAAGAAAAAATCAATCGGAGACATTGAAACAATTAGGTAATAATATCTTTGTGCCAACTCCCATCTGTCAACGCGGGTGACGCTGACCGGGTCTGACGACCGCTCTGTCAACGCCCACTTTTTGCCAGACTTCCTCGGTTAATTGCGCCCAAAATATGTCACCTACGATTTTTTTTTATTTTTTCCGTGCTCAGGGGACACAAATTAACGTGTTTAGAAGACGAAAAAATTTTTTTGAATTTTTTTTTTTCTTGCGCACAGGGGTGTAAATGTCCCAAGGACCCCTGAGCAGTGTAAGGGTTAAATTCCATTTGCCAGGTGGTGCTCCATATACTTATTTTGTCCAGGTCTTCTTGAAGGGCATGACAATCATCTAAATTTCTTATCCTTCCTATTATCTTAGCATCATCAGCAAACATGTTCATATAATTCTGTATACCAACTGGTAGATCATTTATGTACACAATAAACATCACTGGTGCAAGAACTGAACCCTGTGGTACTCCACTTGTGACATTTCTCCATTCCGATACATTGCCTCTGATTACTGCCCTCATTTTTCTATCAGTCAGAAAATTTTTCATCCATGATAGAAGCTTACCTGTCACCCCTCCAATATTTTCCAGTTTCCAGAACAACCTCTTAGATGTGGAACTCTGTCGAAAGCCTTTTTTAGGTCCAGATAGATGCAGTCAACCCAACCATCTCTTTCCTGTACTATCTCTGTGGCTCGATCATAGAAACTGAGTAAATTCGATACACAGGATCTTCCAGATCGAAAACCATACTGTCTGTCTGATATTATATCTTTTCTCTCCAGGTGTTCTACCCATTTAGTTTTGATTAGTTTTTCCAATACTTTCACTATTACACTCGTCAATGATACAGGTCTATGAGGTGTGTGTGTGTGTGTGTGTGTGTAATTACCTAAGTGTAATTACCTAAGTGTAGTTACAGGATGAGAGCTACGCTCGTGGTGTCCCGTCTTCCCAGCACTCTTTGTCATATAACGCTTTGAAACTACTGACGGTCTTGGCCTCCACCACCTTCTCACTTAACTTGTTCCAACCGTCTACCACTCTATTTGCGAAGGTGAATTTTCTTATATTTCTTCGGCATCTGTGTTTTGCTAGTTTAAATCTATGGCCTCTTGTTCTTGAAGTTCCAGGTCTCAGGAAGTCTTCCCTGTCGATTTTATCAATTCCTGTTACTATTTTGTACGTAGTGATCATATCACCTCTTTTTCTTCTGTCTTCTAGTTTTGGCATATTTAATGCTTCTAACCTCTCCTCGTAGCTCTTGCCCTTCAGTTCTGGGAGCCACTTAGTAGCATGTCTTTGCACCTTTTCCAGTTTGTTGATGTGCTTCTTAAGATATGGGCACCACACAACAGCTGCATATTCTAGCTTTGGCCTAACAAAAGTCATGAACAATTTCTTTAGTATATCGCCATCCATGTATTTAAATGCAATTCTGAAGTTAGAAAGCATTGCATAGGCTCCTTGCACAATATTCTTAATGTGGTCCTCAGGTGATAGTTTTCTATCTAGAACCACTCCTAGATCTCTTTCTTTATCAGAATTCTTTAAAGATTTCTCACATAATATATTAGGTGTGTGTGGGGTCTATGTTCTCCTATTCCACATTCCATAACATGACATTTATTAACATTAAGAACAACCTTCCATTTGCCAAGTGGTGCTCCATATACTTATTTTGTCCAGGTCTTCTTGACTTCGTGTGTGTGTGTGAGTGTGTGTGTGAGTGTGTGTGTGTGTGTGTGTGTGTGTGTGTGTGTGTGTGTGTGTGTGTGTGTGTGTGTGTGTGTGTGTGTGTGTGTGTGTGTGTGTGTGAGTGTGTGTGTGTGTGTGTGAGTGTGTGTGTGTGTGAGTGTGTGTGTGTGAGTGTGTGTGAGCTAGTTTAAATCTATGACGTGTTGTTCTTGAAGTTCCAGGTCTCGGGAAATCTTCCCTATCGATTTTATCAATTCCTGTTACTATTTTGTATGTAGTGATCATATCACCTCTTTTTCTTCTGTGTTCCAGTTTTGGCATACAGTATTTAATGCCTATAACCTCTCCTCGTAGCTCTTACCCTTCAGTTCTGGGAGCCACTTAGTAGCAAGTCTTTGCACCTTTTCCAGTTTGTTGATGTGCTTCTTAAGATATGGGCGCGCGTGTGTCTGTGTGTGTGTGTCTGTTTGTGTGTGTGTGGAAAAAAAAAAAGTTGATTGACAGTTGAGAAGCGCACCGAAAGAGCCAGAGCTCAACCCATGCAAGCACAACTAGGTGAATACATACATGGATTCATAAGCACATTGACTTTAAAGAAGATTTTTGTTTTTGTGTAATGTTTACAATTTGATTAGCTGGGTATAACCGCAGTACCTTTATTAACATAACATGGAAGCCTATCTGGGAACCTGTTATGCTCATTAAGGTACTTTGATTATTAAATCACCATTATAACCAGATAGGTGACTCCTCTTGCAACCATTTGTGTGTTATGATGCAGCAGAAATCGGTGAATTATTGCAACATTTACAGAGTTCATACAATTGTTCATTGATGAAAATAAAATGTGTTAATGTTTAATATTGTAACATTAATTGTACTAATGAGTGCATAGATACTTTTGGTTAGTGAAGTAATTTGTAGTTCACAATATTTAATTGTCATTAGTAAAATACTATTTTCAGTTATGTGGTTTTGTGGAGCTGAAGTCTTACTACCACTTTATGAGTCATGACAAAGGAAAGGCACATTACAAGGTGAGATGTTTATTTGAATTTACCATCTAATCTGAAAAGTTGCTACTGGGTTCCACATGGAGCTTAGGTGACAAAAACTGAACATTTTTCTAGGGGAAGCCCCTTCGGCTCCCCGTAGTTATCCAGGCTGATATGGATATATTAGATTTTGGCATCAGTCAATGTGAATGGAGTTCTAGGCCTGCCTGGGACCACAAGCCAGAAGCTGGGCCCCTCAGAGAGGCACAAGGAGTAATGGCCTATAGAAACCCCCGTGTAGTTGGAAACATTCTGTGTCTGCCATCAACTGGGTCAGACACCCAGAAAGGTAAGCACCCCGAAAATAAACCCCTATTTTAGTTAAAATATTGCTACAGAAATCTGAACTAGAGTACAGAACTCCCCAAATGAAAACTAGCAAACTAGCATAATGTTACCGCACCGCTTGTCTGTGCAACCCCCCCCCCCCTCTCCCTTCCTCGGGAGGGGAAAGGGGGAGCCCCAGACTCTCACACCGGCTGTCCACCCTTCAGTTCTTAGGCTGATGTGCTTGGCAACGGTTGTGTGACTCTGGCTCCTATTTTTGTCCTCCAGCTCTGTGCCTTGTGGTGTGGTGCTGTTCCTTGGTGGTGGCCAGCCAGGACTAATTTCACAAGTACTCGGGCTGCATGCGCCTAGGGTCCCCTTCCCTAGGTGCCTTGTAAGTACTGCCCTTGGGGTCACCTTCCGCAAGTCACCTTGGGATCTCACTCTGCTTGGTCTTTTGCTGCTCGGTAATTGACCGCCCTTAGTGTGCCGGGGTGTTTTGTGCACCGTTGTTTGCCTTTGGGTAGGGGTAGTTTTGTACTGGTTGGGGTGCAGAGTACTGTGCAGCTAGTTGTCACCTCTCAGTGGCCAGCTCTGTTCCGCCTGGGTACATTGCCCTCTTATGGGGTTTTTCTTTTTTTGTTTTTGTTTTTTTGCCTAGTGGGGGATCAGCCTTTTGGTTGGTCTCGCCCTATTGTGTCTTGGGTGGCCCCCAGCTAGGCCCCCATGAGTGTACATGTCTTGGGGGTGCAGCTTTAGCAGTTTGTTGGTGCTCTTGGGTGCCAGTTAGCACTACCCCTGCCTGGGCCTTCCCTGAGCTTGAGTTCCATCTCAGGACCCTGGGAATCCCCGTGGGGGGGGGGTGCATGGGTTTGATGGATGTGACCCCTGAGCCCCCCCCCCCCCTCGCCTTGAGCGAGTTTGAGGGTTGCTCGGTTCCCTTGTCTCCAGGTGACTTTCGCGGTTCCTGCCTCGGTCATGCTGCCTGCCGAGTCGGTGACACCTTTGACCCTGAGTCTTGCTAATTTTGTTCCTTGTTTGTGACTCTACACCCAGTCCACTGATGACACTTCGAGTGCAGGCAGCTTGGGTGTTGCACGCTTGTTTTAGATTGCTGCAGTGCGATAGGTTGGTTGCTGACCCAGGAGCCCCGAGGCTGCCCCATTTTAGTTATGGCCTGGCATAACTAATTGCTCTTAGCAGTCGTCCTAAAGTTCAGTTTAGGGAAGACAGCCTAGGTGTCTGTTGAGTATACACATTTTAGTGATGGTGTGAGGCTGGTTGCTTGCTCACGGGTAACGCTCGTCCGAATTTTGTGTTTGCTGCGGGTTGCAACACCAGGCTTTTTGACCTTGTATGCATATATTCCTTTAGAGGATTCTATTAAACAATTTGATACCAAATGAACGGTGTAATACAAAAATCGACATCAGAAAACTGAAGAGAGGGTACACATTTTAGTGCTGGTGTTGGTGTGTGGATAGGTGCTAGCTCACGGGTAATGCTCGTCCAATTTTCAGGTTTGCTGCGGGTTTCACGTTGGCATTTTTTACCTTGTATGCATATATCCCTTTTGAGAATTCTATTGTGAACAATTTGATACCAAAATGAGCATTGTAACTTGAAAATTGATATGAGAAAACTGAGAATAGCGTACCATTTTAGTGCTCTTGCATGCTTACGGGGAACTCTCAGCTGATTTTTGTGTTTGGTGCGGGTTGCGTGCCGGGCTTTTTGATATTGTATGCATATACCCTTGTAGGGAATTCTATTGTGAAAGATTTGATAGCAAATGAATGACGTAACACGAAAATTGATGTTATCAAACTGAAAAGAGTATTCACGTTTGTGAGTAGGCATTGCATGTGTGCCAGTGGGTGCTCATTCACGGGTAACGCTTGGCTGAATTTCGGCTTTGTTGTGGGGGGAAGGGATGGGGGGGGGAGTTTGACCTCATATACTCCTGTATATACTCCTGATGCATATACAGTGGTACCACGCATAACAAATTTAATCCATTCCATGTTCGTCATGTGAAACGGACGTCATACAAAACAAGTGTGCCCCATGTAACCAGTGTGATGCACTGTGTTTATTGTGAAATTCCCCAGTGTGCATGACATCAAATGTTCCCCAAAATATCATTTTTCTTTGCAAAATGATAAATTACCGTCCCTGAACATGTCTATGTAAAAGTAATTACCAAATTCCACTTACTTTGGGTGTGAGGGCATGGACAAGGTGCGCTGTGACGTCATCAGGGCCTGGTCGCCCGTGTGTGAAGCTCCCAGACACGGTCGCGCAGGCCATTCAAGCACTGCATGTTGCCACAAATATATTTTCAAATATTTTTTCTATGCATTTCCAATGCGGTTTTATTTGTTTCTTTTATCGTATATGATGCATATTTGTGACCTTTACAATATGTATACAGTAGAATGTTCATAATTTTCCATGAAACTGTGATACATGTGTCAGTAATGTGTCCACAATAAATGTTTATTGTCACAATATTACGTGGTAAAAATTCACTAAAATTACAATATGTACAGTTTCACATACTATTTACACAGTAACACACTGTATTACACACTCAGTACTTTGGAGGTGTGTAATAGTCAACGAAGTAGTCCATGGTACACAGCGCGACTTTGCTCTCCTTGCACCAGCTACAGATAGATTTTCGTTCCCTGTTTCATCGTTCTGTGTGCTTGCAAATAACGCTCTCGTGTGCACCCTTGGCTTTAGTACTTGTAGGTGGTATGTAGCCAAGCTTGTAAAGCATAAGGTAGTATTGAAATGATTATAGGAAAAGCTCAGTTTGTAAGGTAGTCTTGAAAAGATCGCTTTGTAAGGTCCCACACAGGAAGAGATTCAGCTAGCCTCAAAGAGTGTCCATCAGTCAGGAAGAGATTCAGGTATTCTTGAAAATATCAATGAACAACACCACCATGGAAGCCGCTAACACTGTTCATCTATGCTACTTGTATCAGATGCATCATCATTGAACGCAGAAAACGATTCATCTATGTATCATCTATATAAATTGGAGATGGCAAGGGTGGGGCTCAGAGCTACAACTGGATACGCTCGCTGTATCATCCTCATAGGTGCTGCATCACTGGCATCCGACCGTTGTGTTAAGCCCTTATTGCGCCTAGCTTCACCAATGTTATGACCCCTTGTTCTTCAAACAATAGGGTCTGAATTGCACCGATTGAGCGCAGTCTTTCAACACCGTGTGGGACAGGTGTTTGAGAGCCAGAGGCACGTGTGCTACAAATGGTTGCTCACGCAGTACTAACCCAGCCAGCAGCCCTTGTCTTTCATATTCGTTATAACAAAAGGTTCGTTCAGTGTTTGTCGGGTAGGCTGCTCCATTATGACAATCTTTCTTTGTTTCAAATGTGTTCCATTTGTTTTGTATTTGTCACTTACGTCTCAATAATGGAGCAGCCTACCCGACAAACACTGAACGAACCTTTATGGCATTTGTCCATTTTTAAAATTGTTTCAACAGTTCTTTTATTTTTCGTTTTTTGTTTATTTAAGAAACATGGAGTAGCCGACCTGTAGACCACCGAATGAACCTTTTTGACATTTGTACTGGTTTTCAAAATTCTTCATTTTTTTTATTATTTACGTTTTTTGTATGTAAGAAACATGGAGCAGCCTACCTGCCGACCACCGAACGAACCTTTTGCTATAAGACAAATGAAAAATAAATATTGAACACATTTGAAGAAAGGAAAATGTCATAATGGTTTATTCAGTGTATGTAAGATAGGCTTCTCCATTATTGAGACGTAAATGAAAATTACAAAACATATGGAACACATTTGAAACAAAAAGATTGTTATAATGGAGCAGCCTACCTGCCGAACACCGAACGAACCTTTTTGACATTTGTTGTATATCAGACATTTCATTTATTTTTTCCTGCAAAAACGTCAATGCTTTGCAACATCTCAGCAGTCACCCTTTTATATCCCAGCATCATTAGCATCTTTAAACAAGAACAACATAATTTATGTGCATCGTCGGAGGCGTCTAAGAATGTGCAAGAAGCAGCGCGACCCCACCGTGTGGTGTTGACGTTACTCAAACCAGCGTTCGTCATACGGGACGATTTGATGCCGATCGGGCCTTTCGTTACCCAAAATGTTCGTCTTTTGGGGCAATCGTTATGCGAGGTACCACTGTACTCCTGTAGGGAAATCTTGCAAACAAATTGATACCAAAATTAATGAGGAAGCACGAGAATTGAGGTAAGAAGAGTAGACACATTTTGATGGGGTTGTGCGCTTGTGGGTAACCATCGGCAGAGTTATGAGTTTGATGAGGGTGGCACGCTGGGCTTTTGACCTTCATATGTATATATATCCCTGTATGGAATTCTATTGCGTACAAAAAGATGCCAAAATGAATGCCGTAAATGAAAATTGAGGTTAGAAAACGGAAGAGTATACATATTTGAGTCTGACCGCGCACTCACAGGAAATGCTCAGCACAACTTGAGGTAAGCTGGAGAGTGCCCGCCAGGGACCGGAAAGTGTTAAATATATGAATGGCAAAATACTAAAGGCATTGTTCACGACTTTTGTCAGACCAAAGCTGGAATATGCAGCAGTTGTATGGTGCCCATATCTAAAGAAGCACGTCAACAAACTGGAAAGGGTGCAAAGACATGCCACTAAGTGGCTCCAAGAACTGAA